AAAGCAATCACTTCCAAATTCTTTCACCAGATTCCGATACCTTACTCATTAAACTTATAGTTCCTTGAAGTAAATTTTTTTTCCAACTTGTTTCCAGTGGCTTCATGGATGGTTTGGAAAATTGTTCTCTCATGTGAAAAATTATTCTTAGCATTTCTATTAATTTCTCCTTTCTTATTTAAAAATGTATATAAGATGATTTAAAGAATGTCAGTGATTAGAAGTGCTCCTTCAGATTTAGATTGTGTATACTTTTGTTGGTGACTGACTATTTTAAGATAGAAGGATGTAATAATATTATGATATACAGGCCAAGCAGAAGAACTATAACCCGTACACTCAATTACTAAGCATAAATCATTTTTACATTCACTATAACCATTATCTCTTGAAATCAATTTCAATTTCAATTAAGAAAAGAAAGACTTTCCCTCAAAGACAGTAGTGAAACAAATTAGAACATATTCAATATATTAACTAATATCTTTAGGGATGCAAAAAGGTCTTACAAAGCGTCAGTGGCAATGTTTTAAGTGATTCGAGATGTTAAATTGCCAACATTAGCAACAACAAGTCTATTGGCTTAACCTTTTAAAAATGCTAGTAGTATTTTATTATTTGTCATCTGGCCGAGCCGATTCCTGAATTGACTTGTTAGTGATTATAGAAGGCAGTCAGGCAGCAGGTGCTCTGTTCCCCCGCTTCCCTCGAATGCCATCCCTCTGCCATCCTGTGAACTTCTGAGCGCTGGCATCATAGTCGGGCCTTCATCTCTGAGAGGCCCAGGGCAGAGAATGACTATGAACATTGTGATCCACTTTAAACTTAAAGCTTCACTTATTAAATATCATCATTGGCAAAATGCCACTTAGCTATCTGGAAGTCCCCAGTCCAAGATACTGTAATATGGATTTTATATTTTTTAATATCATTGATCAAACACGTACAAATTCCCTAATAATACACTGGCACATTAAACACTTGATAATTGATAAACGCTCTTGGATTTCTATGCTATCCTGAGGACCCAGTTAAGTTTCTTGTGGTTGGGGAAATCTAATAATAGCTAAGGATAAATCAGGGCAAATCTGTTGGCAAACAAAAGTGAGACCCAATAATGTGACTCAGACCTAAGACAAGAGTGCACACTTGGAAAACCAAAACTGTGTTGTCTACGAAGTTAGCCTCTTAAGGTCAAGCCCCAGACAGGTGCTCTCAAAGGAATGGACATAAGCGGACTTCCCTTGTATGAGCAGGTCACACACCCATAGGTGTGTCTCGCTGTAGCTGGTGGATTGATTGGGGGGAAGAGAGCGTATCTGTGCAGCTCACACACAAAACATGATAGCAGTTGTCACTGGAGATTGACAGAACAGAGAAGAGAAAGATAGTACCATTTAGAACTTTAGCATCACAAATATTGCATTTGGATGCACGTTGGGAGTAGTGCTACCACCTATTCCTGATGTTTCCTTTGTTTTAGAGAAATGTTACAATAAAGGAGTAAATACTTGGCAAGGTACATTGGAGGGGGGCATCCATTGGGATATTTTCAGTTCAGGTCCTTCCTCTGTCTCGTTGGAAGTCATGCTTGCTGGCAGTAAATACATATTCCATTTTCCTCCTTTGTGGGGCAGGCTCCACTTGGTGAAGTAACCTGGAATTTTAGGATGCTGGGCATTGAGTATGGCATTCTGAGGGTGTAGCTCTATATAAACTATTAGCCATGTTTGGCAGTTCAGATTTAGCAATATTAAAATTGATGTTTCTGTTGTACATATGCCTTTGTTTCTTTGTTTTGTGTTACCTACAAGTGGTTCAGGATTGAGATAGAAAGAATTATATATTGGACCTGCACAATATTTATTGGTTCCTTCAAATTTTACTATAAAGGAAGAGGATATTAAGAGAATACATCAACCTCTTTGGAAGATAAGAATCAAGCATTATGTAAGGTACCTTAAAATAATGATGACGCTAATAGAATACATTAGATCCCTTTAATTAGAAAATATTAACATTAAAACTTCTGATTATCATCTCTGAAAGTCTGATCTTTTAATAAGACCTTGGTTTAACTTGTAAATTATAGTTAGATATCACTATTTACTTTTCTAGGGTTTTGATAATTCAAATATGTTGTGATTATTTTTCCAGAGAAGGCATTTCTATGAGAGTCTTGTGCTCTCTTGAAATTATGAACTTGATGGAGGTTATGCAAGTCAGAGATGTGGTGAGGATGAACGCAGGGCGAACATATCAGCTTGTCAGGTTTCCATCTGGCTGATAGTATGAGGACAACAGATCTGTTAAGGCAGACACTTTCCTGACAAGCTCTTTAATTAGAATTACGATCATCTTCCCAGAAATGATCCTCAAAATAAATCGTCTACTGTAAACAGATGAAAATGAATACTTTATCTCTTCCCACATCTAAAATAAAAGACCAAAGACAAAGTGTCTTAGAAACATGGTTATTTTCAAAATGGAAATGAGGGAGAAACAGTCAACATTAGATAAGGGTCATGTTTGATGGGAAGTGTTGGATTTAATTTTTGTTTTTCCACTTTTTAAAAAAAGATTTATGTAGGTGACTAAATGATAGTTTCTGTCACAAACGGTCATTGAGCAGGTATTTTATTCACAATATCTCTATTTCAGGTGATTCAATTTTTAAAAATTGAGTATAATGTAGCACAAAGTTAGGTCATGTTGTAATGTAAGGTATCATAATTGGTTTTATATCTATATTTGGTATAGAGTAACCTTGGGAAATGCTTTAATCTCTTTCAAGGCCATTTCCTGGTATATAAGTCATGGACAATATTTTTTTTCATAAAGACACTTTTTCCAAATAAGGTAATTATGTGGATCTTTGGGGGTGGGGACATTTTTGAGACTATCCAACAGGAAACCACTTTGGTAACTGGCAGTTTCTTATTTAGTTAAATATATACATACAAACATATACCTACCCTGTGACCCATCAGTTCTACTCCTAGGGTTTAATCTGAGAGAAATCAAAACATATGATCCTAAAATAGTAATAGAAGAATGGGTAAATGAATAAACACATACATGCGCACATACACATTTTTTGGGGGGGACATCTTGTACTTAACCACAGAGTTCCCATTTCTCATTTTTAAATGGGTAGAACTTGAGTTTGCAGCCATGTCTTCATTGCGTGTGGCTTAGGGGCTATTAACCATTCCCATCCCCCATCCCATACTTCAGGGCTGAGGGACTGCCATTTTACTTCCAAAATTCTAGTTCTTGTATAGAAATCACCCCTCCCTCAAAAAAAAAAAAAGAACAACACACACACACACACACACACACACAAACACCCACCATGTATATGTGGTTTCCATGTGCCACTCTTGGTTTAAGAAAGGGTTACTATGACCAAGGTAATTAAAGGGCTAAAGATATAAAACATTGATGTAAGAAAGCTAAACAGGACCCATTTCTTTGCCATGAGAAACTGAAGGCACAGGGTTGAGAAGCAGAAAACAGCAGAGTGGCAAGGAAGTTTTTTTTTTTTTTTTTTTTTTTAACATGTCTGGGTTTTGAGAACTAAAGAGAGAGGAGTAGGAGCTGGAAACTTTTCAAAATGTAGATTTGGATCCGCTATAGAAATGGACCAATTTTCCCACTGGTAACCGTTCTGCAAATCTGTGGGACTGGTGGGGATTTCTTTCCATGTCAGTGGTAGAGTTCTCACTTTAACAAGCCAGGGAGATGCAATTTAAAATCACATGCAATTGTGGATTTCATTATGCATGTCTCCATCAGGTGAAATAGACACAGCACAGGCTGTACGGGAACAGGACAGTGTGCCCGACCTTCACAGATACAATAATGTTGTACACATTCCAAAGAGCTTTAAAGAAAGCACCAGAAATCTTATGAATTTGGGCTTTTAGGTGGAAGTCGTTATGTCCTAGACCAAAAGGGCAAAAATGCTTTTACCTTCTCATCTCTTGACTCCAAAAGCAGTTTATAGCAAGCTTATGTATATCTAGGGACAACAATGACACCTTAATATTTTAGGAGGACCAGCAATTGTAATCATAAGATTATAGAAACCTTCCCCTCCCCTGTACTTTATCATGAAAATACAAGGGCTCCATTATGAGAATGTTGGAAAGTGAAAGAACCATGAGCCATGGATTTTTTTCCTCTGAGGAGCTATAAGAAGGGAAACAGAATGGACACAGGCAGAATCGGAAGCCTTTGTCACCTATACAGCAAACACTGCACAAAGCTCAATTTCTCCACCAGATGATCATACATCCTCCCACCAGAAGCCTTCATATCTAGTTCCCATGACCCTGCCGAACATGTCCAGCTTTCAACAAAAATTACAAGGCACGTGGAAAGGCAAGGAACATACACAGTCTGTAGAAAGAAAGAGATTTCTGTTTTTAATTTATAATTTCATAAATTAAAAATTAGAATAGAAAACAGATTAGAATAGAAAATTTGTATTAATAATCTAAAATGTGAGGAGACATAAACATGTGAAGTATACACATTTTTTTTAAATATATATTTTATTGATTTTTTACAGAGAAGAAGGGAGAGGGATAGAGAGTTAGAAACATCGATGGGAGAGATCGATCAGCTGCCTCCTGCACGCCCCCCACTGGGGATGTGCCCGCAACCAAGGTACATGCCCTTGACCGGAATCGAACCTGGGACCCTTCAGTCCGCAGGCCGACGCTCTATCCACTGAGCCAAACCGGTTATGGCTCTTTTCTTTTTTATATTTATTGTTGAAAGTATTACATATGTCCCCTTTTCCCCCCATTGGCCTCTCCCATCCACCCCCCAACCCCCACTCCCCACCTGAGGCCTTCACCACCATATTGTCTGTGTCTATGGGTTATACATATTTGCATATGAGTTCATTGGTTGATGTCTTCCCCACCTCCCTTCCCTGACTTCCCTCTGAGGTTTGACAGTCTGTTCCATGCTTCTATGTCTCTGGGTCTATCTCACTCATATGTGGAATTTAATGACCAACAGAAACTGATAAACAAAAGTATTTGTATTCTTTATAAGCTATGATTGGGGCCCAGGGCTCTCAGCAGAACCACACTCCAGTTGAACTTCTGTTCCATGAGCAGAGACTGGGCAAGAGAAGGGAACTTCCTCCCACCTTTTGGAAGTGGCCCAGAACTAAACCTCAACAGCACGTAGCTGGGTACAGGTGCAGGATGGGAGCTGCTGATGGCCTGCACCTCCAGGCTATCGTGGTCTGACTGGGACTTGGGCGTAGAGGAGAGGAAGCCATGAGTTCTTGGCTGTGTCGTTCTAATGGAGTTCCTGTCTCACTGAGATGAGAGGGGTCAGTCGGTACAGTTCTAGATTCCAATACAGTGGGACACAGGGACTCATTGTGGAGTGATGGAAACACTCTAAATCTATATTGTGATGAATTATATATTACAATGGTTGAACTTTAAGTTATGTAAATGAAACCCCAATAATGCCATTAAAGACTTAATTTTGCAATGTGCCCATGCTTATGTGGCTCTAGATTTTACAAAGCTCATAATCCCAATAGGGGAATGACCACTTAGCAGTCTCCTGAGTCAGTTTGAAAGGAGGTGAGTATTGTGCCTTTTTTATATCCTCAAAAGTGATTTTACAGACTTACTAACAAAAAAAAGCTCGAATTTCCAAAAGAAAATATTAACGCTACAGATAAATTCTACCCTCTGATCTCTCTTACTGCTCTTTCATCCCCATGTGTCAACTATAATAAACCAGAATTTTCAAAGAAAATAGCAAACTTCAAATTCCCATTCTTAAAAGTTTACTTTCCCTTACCTTCATTCACTATTTTCAAAACTCCCCAAATGGCGTTCGACTAAAATAAAAGTAAATGCATCTGTCAGCAAAAGAATCTTTTAGAGATGAGTGTTTCAGGATAGTTTGAAGTTTAGTAGACAGTCTTCATCACTTGGATTAATGCATAGATAATAAAATTTCTCTGCTATTTATTTCATTTCATTTTTGTGGCCTTGTGTTCATTTTACTAGAATAAAAAAATTAATATTTTTATTCTTAGTATATTAGGAAAAGTCACTGATCTGGGGAATTCTGTTTATACTAGTTTCTGAGTCTATGTGTGGTCAACAGGTAGAATATGCCTCATTGGTTCTCAATACTTATGTATAAGCTTCGTAACCTGAATATGGGGCACTTTAATGTAAATTTCAGACATTGCAACATTGTCTCAGGTGGAAAAGGGGTAGATGAGGACACAACTAGACATAGAATGGCTCTGGAGATTATTAGCCTTACTTGGATTAGAGATAGTAAGAGCTCTATGCTTGGGAGCGCAGGGGGATGCTGGTAGAGAAGTCCCTGGAGGTCAGGGTTTAGCTGATGAGGGGTCTCAGTGTCAGATTAGCGGCCAGGGGTGGGCAAACTTTTTGACTCGAGGGCCACACTGGAGGTCAGAGCTTAGCTGATGAGGGTAGTCTCAGTGTCAGATTAGCATCTGGGCTACTAGAAAGAGAAGGCAAAACAAGTGAATGAGCAGAAACAGTTTGGAAAGCCAACGCAATCTTGAGAAAGAAGAATAAAGTCGGGGGCATCTCTTGTACAGTGAAAGGACTCATAACAAAGCAAAGGCCTTGGAGTGGTTATTACAATCAGAGCACCAAACAGTATTTGAACCTCTGCAAGGGAAGTTGTCTTAGTACTTCACCTGAGGTGTTAACCGAGGGCGTCTTCATTCCCTCTGGCTTGGTCAGCGTTGAGTCATGGCAGTCTTCCACTCTGGAAGATGGACTACTAGGGGATGGCCTACCCTGGCTGCTGAATAAAGCCTCCACTGGTGGCACAGGGACAGGGGAGCTCGGCCAGGTAGTCTCTGTCAGGTGCCTTAAAAAATCCTTCTAAAAGAGGTGTTTCAAGCTTTTATCTCGGCAATGCTTTAAAACGGCGCCTGGGGTATATAAAGCACAGATACTTTCTTAAGGTTGAATTGCATTAGCTTGAATTAAAATAGTAGATATCATGGAGGATAAGCTTGCAAGAATATCTCCTCTTTTATTGCGATTCCTTTCTAATGCATTTTTTTCTTTCTCATCTTATTAAATATGAGCCGGCGGTAAAGTACTTTTTGATCTTCACTTCTTATTCTTTGAACACCTCAGTTCTCCTTTATTGCCCCCCTAAGGTCCAGTCTCACATATTAAGTAAAGTGAAAGTGACATTAAAGCCAGGGAAACACATCTTGTCTTATTTATATTTAGTATTTCTATTCTTACCTTCAAGAAAAAAAAAGTATGTGAATGAGAGCATCTCCTTTTAGTCTTTCTAACGTACTCACTGAAGTTTTGCAATATTTTATCCTTTACATATTGATATGAACACATACATAACGAGCACACCTTTAAGACTTTCTAATTTAAAATCTTATTTCAATTTGTCTTAGTATTTTTAACATGTCTGAAGAGTAAGTCTTATGTTAAATGCAGGCTTTTGGGGTTATAGACATTATCAACTTTGTACCATTAGGAACAAGAGTAATTGTAGGGTGGGGATTGAATGATAGTTAAAGAGGATTTTTGTGTGTGTGTTTGTTTGTTTTTTTAATATACACCAAGTTAGCAGATACAAACAGTTATCCATGAGATAGCATGCTGCCTTTAAATATCACACCACTAAAATATACATCCCACTGTAAATAATGATTCTATTAAAAGCAATTTGAAATTTGTATTTAACCTATTAAGGGAAAAGAAAACTAAAAATCAGATATTTATTTTGACTAGCATAAAATCAGAAAACTTTACTTTTGCCTATCACATAGGAATGCTTCTATTTATTGTTACATTACATAAAATTTTAGAGCTTATAGGCCTTGGGTTTTCTTAATTTCAACGCCTTCTTTTTACAGGTCAAATCCAGGATATTAAAATCCCATCAAGGTTGAGAAAACTGCCCCAAATCAGAGTTAGTTAATTACCTAATGATATGAACTGAATTAATGTGGTGTTTTTTTTTTATTTAAACAAAGCCCTAAAAATCATTAGATGTTGTGGTAAATGTGTGGGAAGAGGTGAACTATGTCTGTTTACAGCCAGCACAAAAGACCTCTTCATAAGAAAACACCATTATTAAAAAATGTCTTAATGAGGAGGTCAGGGCAGATGTGGAAAGCTGGAAGTATGTGTGGGTAAGAAATGAGCATCAGAAACACACAAGCACATGCACACACACACATGCACATGCCCACACCCATATACAAAGCAGATTAGGCAGGATTTGTGGGGTTTTCAGGTTTTGTTGCTTTGAATTCAAACTGATAAAAGAAATCTGAGTTAAATCCTTAGCGGCAGAGAAAGGGAGACAAGAAATGAGCCAGAAAGAGAGGGTGTAAATCTGAAAATCTGAGGCTTTTGTGAAAGTTCAGGGAATGCTCCGTGTTGAGAAAGAATATTAAGAACATGGATATTGAGTGCTCAGAGTAAATGTATGCCTAAGCCCGTGGTTGGCAAACTGCGGCTCACGAGCCACATGCGGCTCTTTGGCCCCTTGAGTGTGGCTCTTCCACAAAATACCACGTGCGGGTGCGCACGTACAGTGCGATTGAAACTTCGAGGCCCATGCTCAGAAGTCGGTATTTTGTGGAAGAGCCACACTCAAGGGGCCGAAGAGCCTCGTGTGGCTCGCGAGCCGCGGTTTGCCGAGCCGCAGTTTGCCGACCACTGGCCTAAGCAATGAAGCCTGCCTCCTACCCACACGTGCACACAATTATTTTATTTAAAAACACAGTCAGGAATGGGACATGTAGTGCAGCGGCTTGGGTTTCTTTGATTTTAGAACCTAAGTGCCTGGCTCACATTCTTTCTCCACCGCAAACACAATTCCATGGAGACTGTTACAGATTTCACCACAGATGCCCCATCTCTGGCTCCGGAGTCTAAAAAGAAAAAATACTTGGAAAATCAAGTTATCTGATCAGAGGAGATAATCAGGCACAGCTGTTTTGGGACCAGACAACCTCAAGTGGACAGTTGCTAACGCTGCGTTTCTAAAATAGCAGTTCATGACTTACCTGAAACTTACAAGACGCTAGCAAAGTGCACATGGATGTAAACTACATCCTAAGGGGAGAGTTGGGCGTCTCTAAATGAATTTTTAAGAGGATTTTTTAAGTTTAATTTTTCCCATCACCCTTTATCTAAACCCTCTATGCCCTCTACCACTTCCACCCGTCCCCTTCCCTGTTTCCCACGGTGGGTTAGGAAAATGCATCCATGCATATATAATCTAGTATATTTTCTGTATACATTGGAACAATTACCTATTTAAAAAACCACAACACCTGCAATGTCTTAAAAATATAAAAATATGCCTGGACCATTCTGATTTGCTTATGCAATGACGAAGAAATACATTTTATTAGGAAAGTTGGGTGTAAATGATACAAGACATTGCCCCTTACTCAGGAAACTGACTTTACTGATTATGCCCAATGATATGGAAAAGAAGAAAGAACAAAGGGAATATTAAAGCATAAAAAAAGGTGAACTACCAAACAACCTTGCAATCTCATGTTTTCAAGGCTGTCCCTTACTGTCACGACCCTGCCTTCTTACCTCCGATGGAGTCAACACTTGCTTCTCTGCCCACCAGTCATCAGTAGGCGCATGCAATGAACCACATGTACTCATAACTGATTTCAGTCTTTTGCATTTTCATCTCTCTAACTATTGTGAAAAACACCAGAGGCATATCCATTCCAGTCGTTCCTATTAACCATTAATAGGTACCTGCTTCCTTTAGTCTCCACTCCCTACACGAGTGGGCTGTATCCTTGATCGAGGATAGATGGTTTTTGATCTTCCATGTAAAATATCTCATGGGGCTTACTTAATTAACGCTCAAATTAAACAACATTTATCTTTGGAGGTACACTTAGCAAGTGAAATGACACCAGCCGTCCTCAATCAACAAGAATTAATAAGATACAACCATTAAGTATCTTAATTAGAAAACCTCCCGAGGCTGCTAGCGTGTGAAAGTTGATGCTGGCCCAACAACCATGCAGAAGCAAACAGCTTAATAACGTGGACAACTTTCACTTGAGGACATCAGAAAACAGTGTTTTTCTAGATACCTGGAAACAGTGATTTTTACCTTCTCTTTTTCATATTTCTATTTATCTTTTTTGCTGTGTTTTTCTTCTCACTAATTGACTAAAGCAGAGATTTTGTATTTGAACTCCAGGTGTTATTTTGCAAGCTATTACTAAAAATTTCCCATTGGTTTTTACCTAATTTTTTTTTCTATTAGGGTCCCATCTAGGATGTCACCTTACATGATGTTGTTATGTTTCTTAGGCTCCTCTTTCTGTGACAGTTTCTCAAACTACCCTTAGTTTTTGTTGTTGTTGTTTTAATTAAATTTTTACTGTTGAAAGTATTCCATGTGCCCCTCTTTCTCCCCCATTGGCCCCTTATAGCTTGCCCCAGTCCTCCACCCCAGGTCTTCACCCTATTGTCTGTGTCCATGGGTTATACATGTATTCATGCAAGTTCTTTGGTTTATCTCTTCCTACCCACTGCCCACCTCCACCTTCCCTCTCAGATTCTTTCCTTGTTTTTGATGACCTGGTCAGATATTTGTGGAACATCCCCCAGTTGGGATTTGTCCGGTTGTGGTGTGTGTGTGTGTGTGTGTGTGTGTGTGTTTTCGTGATTAGACTGAGGTTATAGTTTTGAGGGAACTCCACCTTCCCTCTCAGATTCTTTCCTTGTTTTTGATGACCTGGTCAGATATTTGTGGAACATCCCCCAGTTGGGATTTGTCCGGTTGTGGTGTGTGTGTGTGTGTGTGTGTGTGTGTGTGTGTTTTCGTGATTAGACTGAGGTTATAGTTTTGAGGGAATAAGATTAGAGGTAAAGTTTTATTCCCATAACGTCCCATCGAGGGTAGCTATTATCAACCTGATTTATCACTGTTGATGTTCACTTTGAACACCGGGCTAGTGTTCCTCAGATTTTTCCACTTTAATTTAAAGTTACTATTTTCCCTTGTCCACACCATGAACTTTGGAAGGAAACCACTGTACAACCCACACTGCGAAGTGGGAGTTAGGCTCCATGCCTTTGAGGCCAGAGTTGCTATGAAAATTACTTGGAATTCTACTGAATGGGGGATTTTTGTCCATGCTCGGTCATGTATTTGTGTTTTAAAATATTGTATATACTAGTAGGAATTGATGGATGTTAATGTTAAAATCGGGTTATGAACCAATTCTACTTTATTTATTTTGTTGTTCACTCGTTCCAGCTTTGGCGATTGGGTCTTCCTATAGTGAGATCCTATTTGCCCTTGACATACATCATTGCCATATTTCAATTGCCACTGTTCTCAGTCCTTTATTACTTTCTGATGCTACAAGTTGCTTCAGGCTACTTTTGTGTATTTGTCTGCTCCAGTCCTAACATCAACCATTCCTCCACAGAGATTTGCCTCCTTTTTTGGGGGAAAAAATTGTATTAGAAACTAACATATGTGTTCTAAATGTGCTCGCTTGGATGTCAGTGTTTCTAGAAACTTTCAGTAGAGCAAAGGAATAGATGTGGGTATAATAACCCTTTTATATGCATGTCTATAAACACTTCATGTAAACCTGTACCTATATTAGGATAAACATGAGTTCATACTGACGTCTCCAACTGTAATTAAACATCATGTGGATCATTCTAGCCTTTCCTTCTCGCTGCTCTGTAATTTCCCACTCAGAGTAAGAATAGCACTTCCAAGCACTGGCGTTCCATTGATTTAATTATTTAATTTCAGTATACAAATATAGCCTTATCAGAATATTCAATCCATACTGCTTCAGGATACAGCTCTATCAATGAGTGTATAGAGCTTGCGTAAAGGTTTCACCTTTAGTCTTATTGATTCCTCTGATTTCCAAAGGTAGTGAGTTCAGCAAGTTTTCCCTCACCCCGCTCAGTGAGAATGTTTGAAACATTTACAGCAAGAACAGAATACCCAGAAATAAACCTGCTCACCTATAGTCAACTAATTTTTGGCACAGGTACCAAGAATACGGAATGGATAGTGTCTGAAATTAATGGAGTTGAGAAAACTGGATATCCGCATCTAAAAGAATGAAAGTAAAACTGTGTCTTACATCCGTATTTTATGCACAAACCTGAAACCTTAAACTGCTAGAGGAACACATGAGGAAAAAGCCCCTTAGTGTTGACCTTGGCAATGATATTTGGATATGACACCAAAAGCTCAGCAACAGGGCAAAACTAAACAAGCGGGACCATATCAAACTAGACTCTCTGCTCAGCACAGGAAACTATGAATAGAATGAATGTGCAACCCACAGAATGGAAGAAAATATTTCCAAACCATATATCTGATAAAGAGTTACTATTCTTGCCAGAACCGGTTTGGCTCAGTGGATAGAGCGTCAGCCTGCGGACTCAAGGGTCCCAGGTTCGATTCCGGTCGAGGCCATGTACCTTGGTTGCGGGCACATCCCCAGTGGGGGGCATGCAGGAGGCAGCTGATCAATGTTTCTCTCTCATTGATGTTTCTGGCGCTCTATCCCTCTCCCTTTCTCTCTGTAAAAAATCAATAAAATATATTTTTAAAAAAAGAGTTACTATTCAAAATATATAAGGAACTCTTTTATATGCTTATGTTGTCTTTGGAAATAGTTAACTGCATATAAACCATGATGGCAAGACATTAAAATAAACTTAAACCTGTAGAAGCCCAAATACATGTTTACATATTGAGGGGCACACATTTTTTTTAAAAAGGTCTTTTTAGTACTAATATGAATGATGTTTTACATACTTAATTAATTTTCTATGAAGACATTTAAGTAGGAAAGACATGATTCACAGTTGCTTTATTTGGCATAATGAGCAATAGAAAATCATTTTCAGTGGGTGCTGTGAAATCTGTAGCATATCAAAGACAGAAATCCTATGGTTTTCTTATACACTATGATTCTTCAAACTGCCTGGAAATGTTTTTCCGAATACACCATTAGTTACTGGTATGAAGGAGCACTTGTTTTCCATTTTTTCCTCATTCATAACCAGCTTGTATCACACAATCGATTTCTGCAGGAGAAGCTCACTGCTGAGTAAGCCCGCTTGGATGTAATGGCACAGTTCGAACACTGTTCTGCAGCTCAATTCAATTTGTAATACATGTATTTCCCACGGCTTGGGAAATTCCAGAGTTTCCATCTATTTTCTCATGCAGAAAGATTGTTGTGATATTTAAGACATCCCACATGTTAAGTTAAATCATCACAGTACACGTTGAATGATAAATGGAAGCGAAACCACGTCTTCTGCAGCCTTGACTAATCACACGGGGTGATGTGCCATACAAATGGTTTGCAGATCACGCTACTAAGAGCTTATTTCTTAACAAATTTCTCCCTGGTACTAGAGAAGCTGATACGAACCAACTCAGTCTAACATCCTTTGCATTTGGCAGGATTAATCTCAGTGAATGATTTGACATTATATTATCAATGAATTAATCTTTTTAATTCTCCTTCTTGTGGAGAGCAACATAGCATTTGAGAACAACCTATGAGAAAATAATACTTGAGGTTGGCGCAAGTTAAAAATATCAATAACAAAGAAAATTGCTCGGTAATGTGTTTAACAGTATTTATATTTTAAATTGTTAACAGGTCATATTTAAATATCTTCTCTATACAGTGAAATAAGAAAAAGTCATGAATAAGCAGAGTAGATAAGGAAGAAAGCTAGACTTTGCCAAGTTAAGATTTTTAAAGGCATATCTCATGAATATGGGTAAATGCAAGTATGTTGTAAATAGCTCCATTTATTTTAAATAGAACCTAAACCTTATTTCAATGAATGAATTTTATATGAAATGTGTATTAATAAATTTAGGTATATTTATGTCACGGGGCAAATATTATAAATATTAAGATGAGGTGATGATGTTCATTAAGCTGAGTTTGCTTTCTTAAATATTGTATTAGCTTGAATGTTGCTCTTCATATCTGCCTGTTTTTATTAAGCCCTTACAAGCATATTTCTATTTTTAATCTGTAATTATAGCGTTTAACCTATATATAATATATATTTCAAGTAGTTGGGTTTTTAAAATTTATTTCATTTTACATCATTTAAGCCATTTGTGTCACATAGAATTATACTAATGCATGTCATATAAAATTATTCTCCTCAATTAATAATCATATTAAATCTTCTCCTAATCACATATTTGAAAATTATGTCCCTAAAATTCAGAAAATTTTAGGTATCCTTTTACAGATATTATTATCTTATCAAGATATGACACACAATTTCCAGTTTGCTTCATAGTGCAGAAAAACAGGAAATTTGTGGTAATAAAATTATTGAACACAACTAGATTCTAGATCAATTCCTTTTCTTGGTTAAATTCAATAATTACTGTCTCTGAAAAACTGGTTATTATCAGAAATACTGTATTAAGGCACCAAAGCAAATGAGGGTTTGGAGTTTCAATTTTCAGATTAGACAGCGAGTTCCTGATGTGTGAGGAAGAGGAACTAGTACAGGGAAGTTTGTAATGATACCATGTGGTCACATCACTTCAACTGCAATGAATGACCTACATTTCTCACTCATGTCCTGATGCTACTTGTACAGGCTGTAAAGTCCTGGGAGAGAGAGTCTGCTTGGTGAAGAAGGCATAGGTCAGCCCTGGCCAGGGTGGCTTAATTGGTTGAATGTCATCCCATGCCGCTAGATGGATCCCCAGTGAGGGCACCTGCCCGGGTTGCAGGCTGGCTCTCCAGTAAGGGGCATGCAGGAGGCAGTCCATGGATGTTTCTCTCTCCCTCTCCCTGTAAAATCAATTAAAAACATATTTAGAAAAACAGAAGGCATGGGTATGTACAACTCCACCTGTATTGGGGATGCCGGGAAGAAAAAAAAAATTGACCCTGTATGCCAGTAATTTCCTCACCAATACTGTGCACAGCAGAGTAGAGGGAATCTCCCAGAATGAAGCTGGCAAATGTACAATGCCACAATTAGAAATTCAAGCAGCTGAATAATACTAAATCCCATTTAAAAATGTGCAGAGTGTTTGGAAAACTGAAATCAATATTTTGAAGTGTCAGTATATATTATTCAAGGCAGCACAAGTGTAAACGTATCAAATTTGAGGTCAGGCCTTAGTCCAGTGGAGCATTTTTCTGCAATAAAAGGGAAGGAAGAATTAAGTGAATATTTGGAGGAGACATTGAGTTATAAATTCTCAGTATGTTAATCATGGCGTTGTCTCAACAACAGAAGCCAGATCAGCTGTATCTAAGTCTTGCCTGGATTTAAGTTTGAACTTCCTATTACAAGGGGATGAACTGCACGACTAGAATTAGCAGGTCCCCACTCACTGGCCCCATCACGCAGAAAAGTAGCAAAATGAAAAGATTATCCTGCTCTATCAGATTCTGATATGCTCTAATAGGCCTGATCTCCCGTATACAGATAAGATTGGGATGTGATAGAGTAAGTGGAGAGTTGCAATGTTACCTCGAAAATTCTTACTGAAATAGAATGCTAAATTTGATTAGGAACTGAAATGTAATTTAGAGCTGAGCAACTGGAATTGGAAATCTGTTTTGTCCATGTGTATCAGGTAATTATAAAATGTTTTCTTTTTTAAAAATATGTTTTATTGATTTCAGAGAGGAAGGGAGAGGGAGAGAGAAAGAAACATCAATAATGAGAGAGAATCATGGATTGGCTGCCTACTGCACGCCCCCCACTGGGGATCAAGCCCACAACCTGGGCACATGCCCTAACCTGGAATCGAACCTTGACCTCCTGGGTCATAGGTCATCGCTCAACCACAGAGCCATGCCGGTCGGGCGTAAAATGTTTTCTTAATTTAAGACTATGCTCATTTTTCTCAACACTCTTAATATAATGGTAACAATTTTGTGACAAAAGTGCAAATTTTTTTGATGCAGCATCTTAGGATGGACTTAACTGTTCATTGTGTGGAGAGCAATAGGTCCTGGAAGAGGGTGTTCAAGCAAGAGAAGACACCAAACAATAAGAGATCCAGAGACAGTTTCTCTGCAGTTAGATATTACATATGAGATTATTTCCAACCAGAGTGTTAGTTTACTCAACACCCACTTTTCTTTCAATGTCACTTCAAAGTTCATTTGATAGAATATTGATGAGTGATGCCACTAAAACAAATTTATTGGATAATATTGTCTAGCTGATAATGTCGTGATATGAAGAAATCAACTCCTCTGTGTTTACGAAAAGGCTGTCTATATTGTGTTAGTCTAACATTAAAATTAGTTACCAAGTTGAAGAGTTATTTGACTTACTCAAAAAAGTAATTACTCATTATTTATAGAAACTCTGAAATACAGCAAATTATATCCAATTACTCAAAAATCAGAATGATGTTGCACAAAATTAATTGTGTCTGTTTTTAGAAACTCCGTGTTGCCTTGCCTAATAAATATCTGAATAGTAAATGAGTAAGAGTTTATAAACTTACATTTCTTAAATTATGATTATATTCAAATGTGTAGATTAGCTTCCAAATATTTTAAATATTGAATATGTAGTCCTTGTAGTTTCTTTTTCCTAAAAATAAGTGATGATAACTTTTTTTATAACAGATTTTTCAACATTTTCATGATGGTTTACTGTATTTTACTGATATTTAAGAATATCATCAATAACATTATAGGGAAGGAACTTCTCAATACGATAAGAATGTAATTCTTCCATTGAAAATTCATGATTGAACGGAATAGAGATGGGATGAAAATGGAGATATGTAAGAAACGTATTCAGGCAAAGTGCAACTATAGCATTAGAAATATAATGAATAATAGAAAACCACCTCTGAATATTTTTCTGATCATTTACTTACTTATTAGAAGTTTCTCTTTTTTTTCTGAGGGAAGCAAATGGGGAAAATACACCTGAAAGAAAAATAGACAAATATAACCATAACTGAATAAAAATAACTAGGTATTTAAATAGTAATCTTATTATTATATTCCAAACATCACAATGATGTCTTATATTGGACAGGAGATGCATTTTCTTTTGTTCTGAAACATTCCACATTATCTAATAGAGAATTTTTTGCTTTACAAACACCCAATACATTATTGCCAGCTGCAGTATTTTCAAAAGATAAAGGACTAGAAACATGTTTCCAGGAACAAGCTCTAAATGTATAGACACCATAAAAGAATTCCAGGCCATAAAACACACAGAACAAAAAAAAGCAGTAAAATGGCTGTTTGCAGGAGTAAAATAGTAGCATTTTATGGATTGGGGACGTTTTACGATCCAGCCTCGTGATAGTCTGTGTTTGGACGGTGTGCAAGCTCTTCAACACCATCGTTTCCATGTCTAAAGCGCTGGCCTGCTCATATGCATGGCTTGCCTCTGCTTTTTATGGACCTCAGCTTATTAGCTCCATTGCTGAAAATGCTGCTTCCGCAGAGTTAGGGTGGTCAGCTTCACCTCGGTGGAAGCCATTGCTTTCATGCCGCGCTTGTATTTAGTGACAGTGTCTCTGCATCAACAAAGAAAGTGGTGAGTTGGCAGCTGCATACTTTTTTCCATTTTATACCTCAGGAAGGAATCTTGAATGTCTAACTCCACCACATCCGAAGTTATTTAAAGATGAAGGGTTGAGGCCTGGCCAGCAGGCGTGGCTCAGCAGTTGAGCATCGACCTAGGAACCAGGAGGTCAGGGTTTGATTCCCCGGTCAGGGCACATGTCCTGATTATGGGCTCCATCCCTAGTGTGGGGCATGCAGGAGGCAGCCGGTCCATGATTCTCTCTCATCGTTGCTGTTTCTCTCTCTCTCTCCCTTCCTCTCTGAAATCAATCAATCAATCAATATATATAGTATATATAATTTATTTTTGTCCTGACCGGTTTGGCTCAGTGGATAGAGCGTCGGAAAGGTCACAGGTTCGATTCCGGTCAAGGGCATGTACCTTGGTTGCGGGCACATCCCCACCAGTGGGGGTGCAGGAAGCAGCTGATCGATGTTTCTCTCTCATCGATGTTTCTAACTATCCCTCTTCTTCTCCCTTCCTCTCTGTAAAAAAATCAATAAAATATATTTAAAAAAAATAAAGATGAGGAAACCAGGGGGCAAGGGATTTACAGAATTTCTTCAAGGTCTCTTTGCTCCCTATGTAGTTTGCCTTGCTCCAAGGTACACTGGGTAAATTCACAGCTAAAAGTAACATACCTCAGACCATACATCATCTACATCGACTAGACTAAACAAAAACATGTGCGAAAAGTATAATTTCATCTTTACAGAATCCCAAAGTTTATTCAGATGGAAAGAAAATGTAGAACCAATTATTTCCAAAATCTTAAATGTTCATATGTAAAAACAGAACCCCAGAAGTGGTAAGAGAGCTGGAAACACACAGCTGTTAGAAATTCTAGAATTATAATCTTAATATATTCACATAAGTGTGTGGCTCTTTGTATCATGGCATATAAGGCCTTTTTAAATGAGTGTATTTAGTCATTATATTAATTAATGAAATGCTCTGAATTTCTACATTTTTCTAATAGCGT